GTGTCAAGGAAGGATGGCGTACCCTCGGAGATCCTCCTGACAGCGCCAAAACTTCTTTTCGTAGAAAACACTCGCGAACACTAACATGAACGATAGAAAACGTTAAATTTGATATGCATATTTCAAAATAGCTACCCATTTGATCATCATGTCGTTCATCTTCGTGCACTTTGGATGAATTGCACATCTTCGTTACCGCATATAATCACTGGTGGGTCCTGGTTCTGAACACTCACATTGTAAACATAATCAAAGAGCCAAAAAGATCTAACTTGGTTTGTTGGTGTGAGCTTTAGCTTGGATGTCCTATGACATTTGGCTCGTACATATTAGTTGGGAAGTCTTATGACAATTGTCCAGAATTGAGCAAAAGATCTAACATGCACACAAAGTGGCTATAGTTGGAGTCAGCGAACTTCTCGTTTACTGCGTTTCGGCTTCATCTCGGAATCCTAGATCCCTACTATCGAATGCGTAGTTGGCTTATGCGGTGCCTCGCCGTAGCCAACCGATGTACAATTCAATGCTTATACTCCCAGACAAGCCTAATACCAGCTGATCGACTCCGGATGGTGCTATGGATGGCTCGTTGGCTTAGGCAGATATTCGATCCCTGACCTTGCAAGTGCGTTAGTGCGCCACAAGCCACTACACCATCTTTGCCTCAAAAAAGGGAGTGTGATAACGACATAGGGCTAAATATAACACGAACTTCCGTCAGGTCAGCTAGGTTGGCAACTGAGAACCTGCGTATTTTTCCAAGTCCTTCAAACAGCCATATTGGGGAGTAAACACCCGTTTTCAAATGATTTATATTTATGGAGCGGGTGCCTGCGTATTTCATGATCAATATACAACTTAATAAACGTCCTTTCCTCTATAAAGACAGGTGATAATAGCAATCACATGCTATCAACCCACGATTCGAAACGAAGCTTTTCTAGCATACGGAACTGCTCATTTTGCTAGGCTGGAGAGGTACTCCATACTCTAGCAACTCAAAAATAACTTACTTCAATCACAATATCGGGTTCTAGAGAAGGGACACGATTCCGTTTGGGGGCGTCACTCATGCCCACGGAACGAGCCTGAAAATACCACCTGTAGTATGGAGTTGAACCCTTAAGACATACAGCCAGCGTCATTCGCAGGGAAGCGGACAGACTCAGAAGAAAATTTAAAAATAGAATTCAAGGATCATTTTCCAGCAATGATCCGTTTCGTTTCGGGACGCGCCCTTGCATTCGACCTCCAATCGCAACCGTCGGTGGGGTTGTATGCCTATGTGGCCTGTACAATGAATTGGAGCGGTCTAACTGTTCAAAGCACTACTTTTATCCACCCAGACGAGCCTGACTCCAATTACGCGACCCCGGAGGGATGGAAGGCTTGGTTGGCCTCAGCCATACTGATTCAGAATTCGATCCAATGACCATGCGAATGAGTGTGCGCTACTTGCCATTACATCATCTCTCATTTGAAAATAGGAATTTGGAAGAAAAACAAGTCCACCCCCCTGCCCCTGTCTCCTTCCCCTTACTGTTGGAAGAAAAACAAGTCCACCCCTCCCCCCCTGTCCCCTTCCCCTTACTGTTGTATACCATGTATTCATCGAAGAATGCCTAATTTATGGCAAGCTTGAAGTTTGATTGGCTTGGATTATCTATAGCAGGCTTAGAAAAAAATCGAAAGCCTTGATGAAAGTTCCTGACAGGAATCAAGTGGGAAGGAATACAGGAGTAGCTTATCATAGTGAACCACATTCAACTGGTCCATCCCTATTCTCACAGATTATGCTCAGTACTGACGTACCTGTCTGGTATGTTCAGCTGACGCGGGACCTTGACCAGCACCTTGCGGAGGCATTCCCTTCAATTTCATCTTTGAACTTTTATCTTTGAACTGTAGTTACGATTGTACAAAAAATTGGAAGCAGAGTAATATTATATAAAAAAAGAATTCTAAAAATTTTTGAGTTTTCTTCACTCCTGAAAGTCCCCTCTCAAAAGGGTCAATTTTAATCTGGGAACTGTTTTCATTGTTTTTTTTTTTTTTTTTTTGTCACAGTAATTTCCTTCGCAGAGAATCGGAAAGATCGATGACATCAAGTAAGTAAAAATTTATATTTTCTATATTTTTTATATTTCTCTTTTCTATTTACTTCTTTAGGGTTTTTATATGTTTTGCTCCGCCTCCTATCCACTCTTCCTAATTGTGAAAGACAACAACAGAAGCTTTTCAGCTGCTGAGTGCCTACTACAGTAACTGAAAAGCGTATCCTTTCGTGCCATGGTATATGGGAGAAAAAGGCAACCATTTTCTCGAGTGGAAGATAGATTGATAACATGTGGTAAGAGATGATAAACAGTGATCCAGCTTTTCTAATTTCTGCTCAGAGCTGTTTTACCTAGACGGTTTCAACCATGTTTCTAAATGAACTCACCTGACCGCGCCTTGCGTTGTTGATAGGCTCTGGATCGAATTGGTACATGCCTGCCTGAACTGTTAATTTTCTATTAAATTTCTAATAATCTGATAAAAGCAAAAAAACTTTCAGTGAGCCCTCAACAGTGTAGAAGGTCCTGCGAAAAAGACAGTGTTGAGATCGCCTAGAAGTGAGCTGAGAACCCTGGTAGCGATTAAGGGGTACTTGGACAACTCTATGTTCGGTTTTTCGCTGTGAGTGATTGCCAAAGTAGACGGCTTGGGCTTTAGCTCCGTGCAGCGGATGGAATCCAAAGATCAAGTCGAGCCCATTACAAGGATGGATGAAGAAGAACTCGGAGCCGAGAACTTCAAGTAATGGTTAGCGGCCGCAAGTAAAATAGGCAATGGAGAAAAGGTTTGAAGTTTGGCAGTAGTTGTTTTAATACTTCATTGTGATCGTGGTCCGAGAAACGTCGAAAAAAACCTATGTTTGGAAGTTCCTTTACACGAAGATATTAGGGCTACAGTACTTCCTTCATTGTTCAAGGGTACAGTTGCCAAAACTGTGTGGAAAACATGCTAACAGACCTCAGTATAATCCCAACCTGATTGGGCAATGGTCAGGATGATGTGAATTCGCAGGAAAAAAAGTTAGACGGTTCAATGCTTAGAGAAAATTGGGAGGTGAAGAGGGGCATGACAGGCTGGAGGGTCGGAAAGAATCAAGGTAAAACTGCGACGCAATCAACTGACCATTCCTGCTCCAGGACCTGGAGCGAACTCATTCAGAACATCGTCTCCATAAGCTGAAAAAATTTCGTTTAATTTGGTCTTGAATAGATTTCTGATTAGACTGTCATTCCGCTCATAACGGGCGCTCGGGGTGTGGTGCACTAGGAACGAAATTGTCGCGTCGCGGCAAGAATGACGCCACGCGCGAAGGAATATAGCAGCAGGTAAAAAAGAAGGAAGAGCAAAACAACTAACAGTAGAATCTTGCCTAAAATAAGGATCGCATATCGATTGAGCTGTATGAAGAACGCTAGAGCTGTGATGCGGCGAAGAAATGTTCCGCGATAGCCGCGTGCGGCGAATCGATTACACAGGACCGATTCTACCGCCCGTCTCCCGGGCGCTCGAAATGGACAGGATCGCTGCTATATGTTGCTATATTTGCATCTAATGCTCTGATGAAAAAAGAGTAAAACATGAATTGATTCAAGGAATGAGGCCCCTGCTTACTCCTTGTTTTGCATGTGATGGCAGAGCGGACATTTTTTCCNCCGCGTGCGGCGAATTGATTACACAGGACCGATTCTACCGCCCGTCTCCCGGGCGCTCGAAATGGACAGGATCGCTGCTATATGTTGCTATATTTGCATCTAATGCTCTAATGAAAAAAGAGTAAAACATGAATTGATTCAAGGAATGAGGCCCCTGCTTACTCCTTGTTTTGCATGTGATGGCAGAGCGGACATTTTTTCCCAATAAGTTCTTGCATTCGGTACCATGTGCTAACAGCGATTTTCGCGTTTCTCTAATACCATACAACGCGCTATTCGTGTTTGTACACTGTATGAACGGTAACTCTTCTTTTTTATGTTCGTAACACTTCTTTTCCACTTTTCTAATATTATTTTGATATGCTACCTAGCCGATGTAGTACTCCAGCCTTATATCACCTCTGAGTTCTGTGATGCATAGTTGATAAATAATACAATGAAAGGATTAAGTATTTTGTTTTAGAACTCGTCTGAGAGATGCGCCCCGCACTCGACTTCCATTCCGAATCGTAGTGACGAAATGAATGCGTATGCAATGAATTGCGGTGGCCAACCGAAGTACAATTCAGTGCTTTTATCCTCCCAAACGAGTCTGGTACCAATTAACCGACCCCAGAGGGATGGGAGGCTTACTTGGCCTGGGCGGATATCGATCCGGGATTTGAATACGTGATCATGGATGTGGGATAGTGCACCACTTACGACTACACCACCTTCGCCTAATTAAACACAACAAACACATCCAATCTTACTCTTTCCCAGTTGCCCGATGACGTATTTCCCAATGAAACCAGTCCCATTTTTCCTTCCCACCAGCGAATTCAGCGAAATAATAGACAATATCCAAAAAAGAAAAATGGAATGATAACTTGATCGTACGTTGTGTGCTACGTTGACGTGCTGGAGGTGGCTTTCTTGCGTAGGAGATCTCTTTGTATGCAGCATATGCTACGATAATACACAGCAGTAGAAAGATGAGAATGCCTATCACGAGGGCCAGATCTCGTCCAAATGTGTCATATCTGAAAACAACGGCATTAAAAGGCTCTATCAAACAATCCTTCTAAGAGAGAAAATGTGGTCAAAAGCCCAGCAAGAAGGTCGTGAATCAGGGAAGAGGTGGTGGAGACGTTACGATAGCAGTCTGCCTATTTTTCGACACATGGCAATCGAAAATAGGTAATTTAGTCATGTTAAGGCCTCTTAATTTCTTCACATTCGTGTCCCTTCATGGTCCGTTCAATGTGCTGACTGCGCTGGCTTGCTCCTACATACCAATCATACGTGATCATTGTGGAGCAAAAAGGTGAGTATCAAGCTGGTATGGGAAATGCCCCTATCTATAATTCGCTGAGCACGTTCCTATAAGCTCAAGTTGACTACGTGCATTTTCCCAATGTGACCTGCCCAGTGTTCCTACGAGGAGGACCTCAACCTGAATGGCTGCTCCAAGTCTCACCGTGGAGCTCTCCACATCTACAATGACAGGTGCGCTTCGTTGCGCGCGTCCCTCGAAACCAGGTCACGCCGCAGCCGTCGCATGCGGCGCGTCAGTCCGCGATACTTGACAGACGTCGCGGTTGTCTCGTTGGCATAAGATCTGCGCTTAGTCCGCGGTAGTTAGCTCAAAGAGAATATAACACGCACTAGCGTAAATCGTTCGCTCCACTGACACTTGCTTGTACTGTAATGTCATCCCTAAGGGTGTGTTGCGATTCGTACGATTCTGGGTGCGCGCGGCGAATTGCGTGGCGAAATTCGGTGCGATTTGGACGGCTACAGCGTTTATCATTGGGGCCCAAATTCGAAGTAAACTAGGTTAGCAGGATTGTCCGAACCTACTAAAGTACTCTACTTCAAGTATGTGCCCCAGTGATAGGCGTCGGAGTTGTTTGAATCCGCCGCGCAAATTGCCGCGCGCGCCCAGAATCGCACGAATCGCACGTCCCCCATCCCAAGACCTCAGTGGGTTGCGCCACGCTCGGATGAGCGTCTCATAAATATTTCATAGGTGTAATTTCGAGTGATAATTTATTTTTTATAACGATACAGAGAAGTACTATGCAATGAAAAGAATCCAAAGACTTACTCAGTTTCTGTATAATCGTCATCAGTAATGTTCGAAACGTTATGCGACCTTGTGGTCAAATTCCTATAATTGCCTTGTAAAATACTTACAGCATTTATGTCTGTGATATTTAAGCTGTTTCTGGCAGAAGAGTACATACTCTATTATGAAGAATTATTCTCAGAATGTTTTCTACTTTGTGGGAAAGGGAAACACTGAATCACATTGAGATTGTAAGTCTCCATAAACTTTCAAAGTTCCATTTCAATACACAAAACTCTTTCCCCCGACTCCTTTTATTTGTCGGTTGATCGTCTTTCAACAATCGTCTGAGCTGCACTTCCGTCCCGGGCTTCCTCTCACAAAAAGCATTCACTAGAGTGGGCTGTGGAACCCTAACTTCCCCTCCTTCTTCTTGGTGACAATTGCTTTTTACCTTTTCCGAGCCAAGACCTAATGACACTTTTTGTTGTTTTGAAGTCTCGGTTCCCGAACTGGCCTTAGGACGTGATCGAATTTCACCAAACGTCTCTTTTCCTGTTGTATTTCTCCCTCTTTATCGACTATCATTTATGCTTTCCTTCCCGAGTCAGCCCGTGCTTCTAAATCCTGTTCCCTAGACTCTCTTGACTGTGTGACTGATTAATCTTGCGAATCCCGCCTGCTTTGAGGGGTTCATCAGATTCATAAATAAACATAGAACGAATGTTTGTTACGTCAGATACCTGTAGTCGCTAATCGAGATTTGCTCGTTTTTTTTTTACCAGAACGATCAAGACAGAAAAACTTTCTGACGATAAAATGGCTTCCCCCTACTGTGAACCTGAAACCCATAAGGATAGCACACTATCATAAGGGACTATGGGATCGAAAAACGGCTGCACAGGGCGCAATGAGGGCTACAAAACAAGCCTGGCCGACATACACACCCCCAAGTGGCCGTGTTATGATGGCTTTATTGTGGCTGCGCCATTCACAATGGAGCACACATGTGAAAATTCGAACAGCTATTTATGACCCATGGCGAGAGTGGAAGTAAAGCTCCGAAGTTTTCGTTTGATCGTTCTTTTCCGGAGGATTCTATTCTCTTCAGGTCCGTTAGTTTTCGCGTTTTTCTCGGCGTTTCAGCGCTATTATGCACCAAACTTCCAGTATTTCACTTAAATTAGGAAGTTCTAAACTGTCAGGAAACTGTGCCTTGAGTTTTCATTTCCTGCAGTAGTTTAGCTGCCAAAGTAATGGGGTATGTTCGTGTCATTAGAGGTGCGGAAATGTGCTACACTATAATTACTGACACTCGAATTGATTGTGATTTGAGTCGCAATTTGGTGAATCTTGATGGCTGCTTTCATAGTCCGCCGGCCGGCCCGCGAATGCGCGCGCTGGCCGGAGGACTACTCGTTCTGCGGTATCGATCAAGATTCAGTTTGCAAACAAGGGGCTANCGGCGGATTACGAAAGCAGCCATTGGGTGGCTTATTGAAGAATCTCAAATAGAAGACCACCAACCATGCCCAGTGATAGTTGCCTCCTTCGTCGAAATTATGCCTGAAAGAAGTGAAGCTACGCCTTCTCGATCACATAGATTTACATCTAGTTACAGCTGTAGATTAGAGTATTATAATTAAGCTCGACAATACTGACTGCAGTCATCTGGGGTTTGGTGAAGGCTATTTTTTGTGAATTAAATCATGTTATCCGTTATTACCACCTGCATAACCACGATAACGATGCTATCAGGTAATAAAGAATGAAAGGATAAGGTCTCTGGTAACCGTCTGAGCGATGCGCCCTCGCATTCGACTCCCATTCAGAATCGTGGTGGCGTTTGAATGCGTAGGTGGCCTATACAACGACTTGCGATTGCCAGACGATGTACAAGTCAGTGCATTTATTCTCCCAAACGAGTCTATTACCAGTTAACCCGCCCCGAAAGAATGGGAAACTCGGACGTCCCAGGAGGATATCGATCAGGGATTCGAACCCGAGACCATGCGTGTGTGAAGTGCGCCACTTGCCGCTACCCCACCTCCGAACTATCAAATTGATGCGTAAGTTGTTATATTAGGATGTCACAAAAGTTCGTGTCATTTTCAAACCTTACTCTTAATTAACCTTCTCATCGGAAAATTGCAACATGATCAGAGCTATTTCACTCAGCTACACAACGAAGTTTAGAAGCCCATGATTTCACGAATGCCATCATGTGTACTCATAGTGGTATTGTTTTACTAGACGCTGTTCACTTACAGAGGTTGATCGTCTGAAGCATTAACCGGATAATGAGTAGCATTTCTGTAATTAATCCTTTCAGAGTTAAAAAATTTTTCAAACAAATTCAGAGGTATTCCGTTTCATTTTGAATGGAAAAAGTTGGTTCTACAGAAGGTTTGAAGCACATTTAACTGTAGATCGGGTGATCGATGATCGGCATTCGCAGTATCAGCTAAGGAATGTTCAGTTAAGACAGTGAGCGCAATATTTGTTTTTTACAAACAACTTTGGACTTTTAATACATGTGTATTCTAAATTTTCAACTGGTTACTGCGAGGATTAGAGAGTCTCACTCAGGATTCAGGTGATCTACTAAGCCTTATTTATGAAAAATCACCCTTTTGGCGAAATTGTTTTCTCCGTGAATCGGGTTTCAACAGCGGCACAGAAAATAAGCAAGTTAGTTGAAAGCACACTGTGGGCTTACTCGAGAATTGAATAATCGTCGTCTGTTGTGTTTGAAGCATCACTCAGGTCACTCAGCGGTAGAGAATCATTCCTATAATTAGCTTGATAAGTGTCACCAAGTGTTCTTCTAAAGAACTTCAGACCCCTTGAGCAAAAGCTTTCGCACAGCATAAACTCAAAGGCACAGTTCACGATAAAGACGGTTTCTGTGATTTCCCTATAGTGTAAATTTGAGGCTCCCTTCATGCATCGAGGTTCCCTTTATGCCTTTATGCCATACCTACCGTTATAAGGTCGAAAAATGCCATAGTTAGGGCACAATAAAGGGCCAGAGATTTTATCGTGTGAATGCCACACCCACAGTGGTCGAGTTTCAACGGCTTAGTAGAGGCTGCACTATCTCGAGAGACTCCCATGTAGGAAAACCAAACAAATTGTCATAACCCATGGCGACAGTGGAAGGCAGTTCGGACAATTTTGGCTTGATGTAGTCATCTCCTTGAGCAATGGGAGCAAGTTAAATCTCGTCCAAGTAGGCGGATTTTCTCGATTTCTCCGCCACCGATGTACTCCTCTACATCAACTTTTCCGCTTTTCAACCTGGAAAGGGCACCTCAAAATTATCGTGGTTCGTGCCTTGAAATGGAAAGTAATGTATAAAATTGTTTTCTTCTCTTTATAGAAAGGTAAGGTCTTTGACGTTAATCAATTCTGGTTGGTCCTGAGGAGATGCATCTTTGCATTCGACTTTCATTGAAGAATGTAGCTATCTATTAAATGCGACCTTAAGGTGACTTGCTGTAACCAGCCGATGTAAATACAAGTCAGCCTTTTTGTCCTCCTAGCCTAGACGAGTCTGGTTCTGGAATGGTCTGGTGGGATGGAAGGCTCGGTTGGCCTAGGCGAGTACTGATTATGGATTCGATACCAGGACCAAGCGATGTGTAATAATCCGCCACTTGCCGCTACACCATCTCATCGCTAACTGAATGGAAACCGAACCTACCCAAAATCTGAATAATCGTCTTCAGTTGCATTTGACGCTTCGCCCAACGATTGAGAGGTGTTGTTCCTAGAACTGGCTCATTAAAACTCATCAGCACTTTTTTTGGAAACCTCACGCTTTTTTCTCACAGAATCAATTCCGTACTACGGAAAATTTGCGTTCCAAATGCCAGTTTATTCGAAGATTTGCTTCTATGTGAGCAACTTCTCAACGAGCATTTTTCTCCTCGAACGGTATGCAAAATGGCGCAAAAGCAAGTCCAACTGAATGGAAACTTTTGACTTACAGGAGGTCTGAATAGTCGCCTTCAGTATTAGTTGAGTTGAGTAGTTCATCCAGCGATTGAGTAGTGTTGTCTCTAGAACTATGCAACCCATCTAAAGCCGTCAGTAATTTTTTCGAGAGTTTTAGGCTTCCTTCACACAAAATCATTCCATACTAAGAGCAA